CATACAGAAACCCATCTGCACCCAAAGCCATCCTAAATGCTACACCCCTTTAACCCTAGACACCTGGGGTCATAACAGTAGTGAAACAATATGGTTCACTTAGTATTTCTTAATTTACATTTTTCCTACAAGAAAGAACAAAATGAGTATAGCCACTAATATGAATACATTACACACCTCTTACCATAATCCTCTTTTATATAGAGTGAGACTAAGGCTACATTAATATGCTTATTTACCTTCTAAAATTTGTACAAAGCCTGCTGCCCAAAGTCTTGATAAGGAGACAAACCCAGATCCCCTGGACTACAATATGTTTGCCCTACTCTACTTTTCTGACTACTGCCATGTACAGTATGACAGGCAGGTCAGGTTTGTGTAGCTGCAGGACAGGTTCCTGGTTTATTATTTAGTACAGAATAATAATAATTACTAACCTTAACTAAATTTAACCTTGATTTATCTGTAGTGAAGAAATGGGCCCGTGTTCTGAACTTTTGGAATTTATTCCATGATGAATTGTGGACTTTAGTCCCTTTCCCCCTGAATGTGAGACATGAACAGAACTTAGCAGGAAATGTTTTGCTTCTATCAGTCATGATAGTTTTGCTTCTATCATGCTTTTAATCAGTTTATACATGACACTCCCCCAGGATGAGCAATCATGATCAAAACCAATACTGTCTTAAACAATATCCTAAATGAGGTCTTACAAACATTATGAAAATCATGGTCATCTTTTCTTGAATTAAACACATTTTATATATACTGTACATATACTGTAGTTTCTGCAGTTCAGAATCACCCAAGTGAAATGCACATAGTTCCTACTTCCTGCTTTATGTTCCCTAATTCATGTTTTTAAAGTCATTTGCTACTGCTCTGCTGCTTCCATGTTAGGTACTTTTTCTACTTCTGTACACAGATACTTGTGGTACACCTCTGCTTACATGAGCTCATTCAGAGTTTATACCCTTTGACACAGCCAGGGATGCAGTTCCTTAACAGATACATTTAAATGGGTGAATCTCCAGAAAACAGACTATCACAAATCCATACATTTTAGAAATATATGCTATTTTATTTTATAGTGAGATTAAGCTTCCACAACAAAACCATGTAACACAAAAAATCCTAGCAACTCTTTGAGCTCTACCTCAATTTCTTCTTCTGTGTTTCCTCTATATAAATACAATAAGGCAGCTACTGTATAAGATGCTAACTGGCAGCAAAATTCCAACTCTTTAATCCAGAAAAATAAAAGACTTTCCAAAAATCACAACAAACAATTAGGTCAGTCATTTTCTCTCTTTCTTCTTACTTCTCCACTGAGACAACAGAAATCAACAGGATATGGATGCATCCTTTTCCAGGTTTTTAGCTGTCTCAAAACCCATTGGTCAAATGATTAATGGTGGCAGGACATTCCCCACAGCTGTCTACCACCTTATCTGAACCTGCTCTTGTATCACATAGGACTGTATAAACTTTTAACATGCCTGTCTGTTAACCACACTTTAATTAATCCATGTTCATACATTACCTTGGATTCCACTGGCTTTTAGTTTGAAAAAAAAAACTGTCATGATGGACCATCTCAAAAATCTCTGGAATTTAAAAAAGTATCTTGTTGCTTGTTCAAACAATTCTAGTGTGTTAAAGAAGATCTTCTTTTTCTTATTGCTGATGTCTCTTTAAAATGATATTTCAGGAATGTACCACTTGAGGGAGTGAGATTATTTGGTCTGTTGTGGTTCTGTTGTGTCCCCAATTACAAGTTTAGTTAAGTTAAAACATCCTAGTTAAAGGTTAATAAATAAGATTCTGTATTTCCTTAGGTTCAAAATGGGAAATACCATTAGGCCCTGGTGACAGGCCAACTTAATCACTTTTAGTTAACAAGTGTGAAAAGTGTTTAATCAAGTTTTACATTACACCACATCCCCCTTTTTTACTGTACCTCTTCCCTGTCAATACTTTTTGACCATTAAATCCATAGCACGGGTACCTCTTTTAGGTTAATCTTTTTTAGTCTTTCCTTTACAGCAGCAAAGAGCTGCACACAGAGACACTACCCTTGTAGCACTAAAGTGGCTTCCTTCTGCTCTCCAGTATAATGGAGCTCATAACATACAATTTATCAAAAGCAAAAGTTTGTCCATATTAAATTCCACCTAGTCCCATCTCTCATGTTTTAGCTCTAATTTACTAGTGTGAATATCCTGGTATCCCTTTTCAATACCTCTCCTCTTGTATGTTTTCCTAGCAGACATCATGCTTAACGTGACATTTAGAGTTACTGTAGCTCTCAAAAGTCTGGAAAACAGCTTCTGTTTGGCTGTTGTAGTTTGATTATACAAACAATACAAAGGACTGCACTACAAAGGGTTGTGGGAACGGGACAGAGGAATATAGGATGTGATTTACCATCAATCAATGAGTCCCACACCATCCGCTGTTGCAATAAAGCCCTGATACATCATTCAGGATCCCAGCCATCCCAAACACAAACTGTTCTCCTCCCTGCCCTCTGGCAAGCGGTACCACACTTTTAAAGCAAGGATCACTAAACTCAAGAATAGCTTCTATCCCACTGAAGTATGCATCCTCAACAGCTAACTGCGGGGCCTTAATACACATAATTTTTACATAGTCTGCCATTCTTTTTGTCTCACTACTACTACATATTGAGGGAGACGTGGTAGCTCGGACAGCAAGGGTGTCTAGTTCCTGACTGGAAGGTCCCGGGTTAAATCCCAGGTAGGGCTAAGCGATGTTGCTTAGTCTAATTCCTTCCAGACAGCTCCCAGGTGCACTCAGCCTGCTTTCCAAATGAGTATCAGGGGTTAATCCTTCTGGGGGTGATAGGCTGGCAGGAGTGTGATGCTGACCACATCACCTCCACCTCCAGTATCGGATGACTGAGTAAAATGGTGGCCCTTGCCCTCCATTCCCCATGAGCCTTTATGGCCTGAAAAGGGAACTCCCTACTACATCTTTTTTTTCTTTTGTTCCTGGTGTTGTCTACAGTACATTGTGTGTTGTTGTCTGTTGTACTGTATATGTCCCCAGAGATCAGAATTAAGAATTATTCTATTAGGAATTAAGAATTCCAATGTACAGTACGTGTACATGTGGCAATAAACTACTCTACTCTCTCTACAGTGTGGCAAATGAAGGCTACAGCACCACAAAAGGTGTGTGTTGGACAAAAGAGTCAGTGTTTAAAGTCAGCTGTAATATTCTAGGACATTGAAAGCAGAAATTAGTACTGCGTGAAGTCAATAATCAGAAATATTTTAGCTACTGTATGTGTATTTTTCAGATTTCTTGCATTTAAACTAAAGTGTGTTCTTTTTTGCATATTGCATATTCCCCTATTATGCTACAGACATACTTTACAGTAAATGTGCTCACATCTGCAGTGTTTTTTTATCAAACCATTATTTTTAACTTTTTTATTAGTTTACTTGATTCAGGTAAATACTATTGCTTGTTAAATATTTTAAATATTGCTTTTATTACTTAATATATTTGTTGACGTTTTTTTATAGTTTAATAAACTCTAAAATACCCTCAAGTACGATGTGTGTTTTTGACACTGTGGTTGATTTCAAATTTCAGAAAGGGTTTTTTTGTGGCAGTGCTGTTTTTAAATATCCTGCAAATAACACTGTTTTTATTTCCCTTTTAATCTCACAATTATTGTATATCGAAACATCTGAATATTAAGCCAAAACCACTAGCGGATAGGCTACCCATTAAACACTAGTCAAGCAAATCAAGATGTCAAGGTCATCATCCTTCCTCTAGAGGGCGCCATTACCCTTTTGGTATTGATTTTAGTTTAGATTTTAGGCATAGGCTTTCATCCCGACGTCCTGTCCCGTTATGTGTTTTATCTTCCGAGTTCCCCGTTCCCTGGATTTTAATTGTCTTTGTCTTGGATGGATCTCCCGGTTCTTGGATTACGGACTGCGCCCTGACTACCTCTTTTGGACCTGTCTGGACTTGGTTGTCTTTGCGTTTCCCACCTGTGTGCACCGGATCACTACGGTCGCCGCACACTGTCAACCCGAATAAACCCTGCTGTGCTTTCCCCTGATGTCCGTCTCCATTCTCTTCCGGATTATACCATCACTCTTTGAGTCTCAATTGCACACTCCACGGGAGACCGGGTCGGCTGTCGTAACACCGAGCAAGCTACTGTATAATTCACAACTGTAGTAAAGTAGAAATAAAGTAGAAATTGTAAATCTGTTGAATATTATAAAAGTATCAATTTAGTGATTATAATATTATTTTTTCCAAATAGTTTTACGATGCTAGGTGCAGTTCTTTAATCAGAAGTTAATTTCTCTTAAAATATTCATATTTTATGTGTTTAATTTGCATGGGTACTTTCATTGTTTCTATGGATGAATACTTCACTGCATAGGATGTCTCTTAAAACAGAAAATTCATAATTTTAGGGCTTTTGAGGTTAATAAAATCCTTACACATACTGTATAACCACAACTTTGGCACCTCTTTTAGAAGCTCAGGTGATGGCTTCCAATTAAAACATAAATAAAATCACAGTGCTCCCATCATTAAACAGATGAACAAGTGAAAAATTCAAGTAGATGAAAAAGAGTTTAAAATTCATGATAAAATGTTCTTTTCTTTTATACATTCATATCTTTATTTAACTTACATTTGTAAATCAGAAACTGCATTTTGCAAAAATGAAACAGGACTCTTAGTAACAATGCATAACTCCAGCTGCTTCACAATGTGAGAATACTGAACAACTTTTAATTCTGCTTCCCATATCTAAAGTCAAAATTAACATATACAGACAACTGTACATACATGTATCGCCATTATTAAGTTATTATCAGAAATCAGGGATCATGTCGTATTTTAATCATGTCTTTCAGCTAGACAGCAATAAATAAAATATTAAGAATAATATTTTGGAACATTTGTTTTAAAATAATTTGCACACTTTATTTTTTAAAATTTTGGAAACCACACATGCTTTATACCTTAAATCTTATTTCAGAAAAATCTGAGATTGCAGTGATACTATGAGTGATAGATTTAAACAGTTTATTTTCTAAGAGACTTATCAATTTGTACTTTTGAAAGGTTATCAAGGATTTTAACATGTTTCTTGACCCAAGAAGGTTTAGCTTCGACGCAAATTTCTAAACCGGCTCTTGTGATAAATCTGCAAATCAAAAACAACAACAACAACAACAACAATTAATAACATGTTTAGATACTGTATTTTCAGTATATTCTGTGGATCATTTTTAATTAAGAGTTTATTTTAGTCCATACAAAACATACACACATGCAGACTGTTCATATATGAAAAGATATAGAATGTTTTTTATCTAGAATACTGTGAAACATCTGTTTTAAAATTACTCAAAATGCTTCATCAGTTGACTATTTCTTCTCATAAATTAATATCAGATTCAATGGCAATATGCTACAGAACTTTATAACTACTTTTCAGAAGTAATGTGCAAGCATGTGTAATTGCTATATACTGTAATTGTAACAAAATCACATATTTTATATAAATCATAAAATAATGTGTGTACAAGCTTCAGTAAAATATAGAAACTTGCAGATGAGTCTTTTACTAACTTTTTTAAGTATTGCAACATCCATCTACATTCTTTACTGCATGTGAGGCTGAGCTTGTCATTTTGATGCTTTTATCCAGCCCTCTCATACAACAAAGAAACAATCCTTGTTATGTAAAATTCTTTGATGCTTATGTAGTATTTCTAAACCTTAAAAGCACGAGCCAATTAATGTGATGCCTTATTACATCACGCACTTTGTAAGAAGGCTGTTAGCCTGTTGTCTTGATCAGAAGACAAATCCCGATGTCCCGGACTACAATATATTTTCACGCCTTCACATAAGCTTTCTTTCCTACCATGTGAGAGACACTTGCCAGTTTTATGGAGCTACAGAACAAGCACATTATATGGCATAATAGAATAATAAAAAGTTTTGGTTAACTACATTTAACCATAGTTTATTTGTGGTGATGAATTGGATTATCATGCTGAAATACCATTATTTATTCCATGATTAATCATGTTCACCTGATAGCAAGAGTCTCTAGAAAACTTACATGACAGCATTCACGAGGCACTCAGAGCTTGTGTTCTTATAAGTGGCCAGAGCCTTAATGGGAAGCCTCTTCGGGTAGAAATCAAAGCAACATAGACTCGGCCCATGGCTGTCTAAAACAAAACAAAACAAAGCAATACTTCAGATTATTACAAGTACAGGATATTAATATATTACGTGTTTAACATACTGTAATACTAATGAAAAAGAAAAACTATTTAATTCCATATTTAAAGTTTAACAGCATTTTATTTTGGTAGATGAGTTTGCTAAATTATTGTGTTTAATTATGACAGTTACTGACATTTCACTGATATATAAAAAAATGACAATTTTTGATAATAGCATTTATTCAAAGTAGAAAGTTATTAGTGGAATTAATTTCAAGCCTGTTATTATATTGAACTCACATTTACAGCAAAACTTGTCACATGCAGAAGGAAGACTTTTAAATGTTTTTTTTTTACTCACGCACCAGAAGCATGTGAAACAAACACGAAATGTGTTGTGTTTCTACTGTTCCAGAGTATAATGAAGCACATTTTTATTTGTTAAAAAATCTGTCACTGATGCTTTAAATAATTTTATTCAGCTGTGAACGTGATATGGAATAATTCAGTATAACAACTAGTTAGTTGCCTGTTTGGAATCTTTTATTGTGTACAAATATCAACTACTTTATTTGAGTCTAGATAGTAATTTACTAGTAAATAATATGTGTTGCAATTGCCTGCTACTGTAACACTACTTTAAGTAAGTCTTTAAAATTCAGTCATAAGCTAGATATAAAATACTTAACTAATACTTAGTTGTTTTTTAATTTACCGTGCTATAAAATTGTAGTATGCACTACCTGTTTTCTTTGAGTTTCTTACACCTTCTAAATCATAACAATACTTGAAAGATGTAGAAAACTTACTCTCGCAGAATATCACTGAACATAAGGCTCCAAGAAGAACAAGTTGGATGACCAAGACTGTGGATTTCATCTTTCAAATTTCAGAACTGGTGCTGGGTTCAGACTGATCTTCTCACAGTTGATTGATCGCCTATACTCCTGCTGGACCTTGTCCATGTTTTATAGGATCTGGATGGCAAGAGGGGTCTTCCAATTTCAACTGGGCCCACACTTAACCACCCTGCCCACTTGCGCAGTGGAAAGCCCCACAGAAGCTACCACTAAGGTGGACAGAATTTACAGCAAAAACGTTTGGAAAGAAAGACAGGGGACATGGGCAGGAAATGATACCTTCACTCAGTCACTTCTGTGGTAAACGTAGATGCACCGTAGAAAACATACGCTGTGGGTGCCTACAACAGAAATAGCATTTTGTGGTTAACTTTTTTTGCAAACTGTGGAAATCTAATTTTCATATTATGCTGATCAGAAAAAATGTGATTTAATTACGCCTGATATTTCAGGGCTCCTAAAATATCTTCCAGTGGTAACATTTTATGGTGGAAGCATGAATGTCAAGAATTTTGTCTTGTCATCAGATATTAGCACACTATATTAAACAAACGGGAATATTGGTAATAGTTCAAAATGTTGACATTTAAGCATCCTACTGTACACTAACACTATATCTTTTTAAGTTTTAACTAGGTATTGTGTTGAACCTACAATGACTTAGCAGCAACACAAATATAATTACAAAAATGATCGCACTTCTTATTTACCTTCATTGGAATTTTGACTTACATGTATTTGAATTTGCATGTTCTCCCTGAGTTAGTGAAGTTTTACTTCTTGTGTCCCAGGTGCATCCTCCCCAGTGAATACTAATTGGTTGATTGGCTATGCTAAATTGCCTAATTCATGATGAACAGGAAGCGTTCCCCATCTTCACCAGTTGATGTACAGTATCTCTACTGCTATACTGACCCCCATGTTGTAGTCAGGTTCAGAAGAAAATGCAACAGTTCATATTTTAATGCTCACTGGATAGAGTATTTTACAGTACATGATCTGGCAGAATTAACTCTGATATTTATAGGAACAATTTGCTTTTGCACGTACAGCATAAAGGTTTCTGTTATTATTGGGCTGCACTTCACCTTGGAGTATGAGAATGACTCAAAACATACAGTGAATGAAATAAAAAAAAAGAGAAAAAAAGTGGAAAATATATGTGTGCCTAAGTTAATCTAAAACTAAAGGTAAAAACTGAAGTCAGAACACCTCCTAGGGTTCATATATGCATACAGCAATTTCTACAAAGGTGTACAACATAATACTGACTAAATCCAATTAAGGCAACTTTTAAATGAAACTAAGCTATTTTTTCTAAAGAAAAAAAAACATTTTGTTGTTTTATCAAAAGCAACTGTTCTGGTAGTATGGTGTTTGGTAGAGTAAAGTATTCACAGAATAAGAACCTGAACTCTGTGTAAAAAACGTACAAAAGCTTCCAAATTTACAAATTAAAGAAAAAAAAGAAGCAAGGAGAAAAGTGGAAGTGAGTAGAAAAAAAAAAACATTGGTCATGTTGATTCCAGCCTCATGCAGAACCCCTGGTGCTACTGTACCTGTGTCTCTGCCTTTCAGGTCTTCTGTCATAACGTTCCCCACATTCCATCTTCTCTCCAGGTTTCTTTACTTTGTGTTCCATCAAATATTGGTAATTTTGTACCCAGTTGTCAAGTATTCCCCTCTTCTTTCTTCATCCCCATCTCTAGATGTGCATTTAATTCCCCCTTGTTCTGTTGAAAACCAAAGCCTTCTTCTAGAGTCTCAGTCGGAGTCTCAGGCCTCAGCTCTACCCCCTTGCTCTTTCAGTTTAAAACCAATAGCTTTTTACTTGCAGCCCTGGTTTCTTCTTTGGAACACTGTTACTTCTGATGCTGCTTCCTTGTCTCTAGAATTGTTCAGTGCGCAAACCACAGCTCAACCAGGTATCTTACGACCCTTTCTCTCTTTTCTGTCCTCTGGTGACCAAAATGACTTGTTAACAAATTCCAGTTACCCCTCATTTTCTCAAAACCCTCATGATCTGATCTATCAATGCTATTAGGCATTGACCTAATAGACCTGATCGAATAGAGATCTATCTCCTCTATCTTCCTCAACAGCTAATCTAATTCCTGCTGTCCCTTCTACCTGCCATTCTACTTCTGTCCCAGAGCCCCAGCTCATCTCCAACCTGTTATATGTCTTCAGCTCCACTCTTCTGGCCCCTGTGGCTCCTGATGTCACCTTCTTAGTCCCAGGTCTGTCCTGTTTTCTACCACCGGCTAAGTGTGCATCCTACATTTTCTGTTCCCCTCCTAATGCCCAACACAGAGCAGTGATTGTGTCCATTTCCTAGACTTCTAGAATTTTACTATTACTAAACTTGTATTTTATTGCTTTAAACCATTGTACTATACTGTAAGTACCATGGACAGTAGCATGATTATTCCAATTCCTCCTGGGGAGCCTTGAGCACTGAACCTTACTACTGCATTTTGTTGGTGTCAAAGCCCTTACCTACAGCATATGTTCCTCTATCCTATACTTCATCCTCTTCACTGCTGCTTTCTCCAGGATTGACCCATCCCACCCCACCCCACCCCATTCCTCTCTGGCCATCCTCCCCAAATTTAGTGCTTGCTCTTGCAAAACAACTTGACATTCAGCTCTTTGTGGCTTTTCCCATTTTCCCAGTGCAATTCCAAGAAAAAACCCTTTTGCTCCACTTCAATGGAAAGCAACCCACTTACTGGGGAGACAGTGATGTTCCTCTTTTTCTCTTGCCTCGTTCTGAAGATTGCATGCTGCCTTATCTTTCATGCTCATCCATTGTCTCCTTCCTTCATGCTCTTTCACCCCTTTTGATTCCCTGCTGTTCCCCCATCCTCTCTTCAACTCTTCAGCACTGGCCGTGCTACCCATTGAACCCTTGAGCCACAGCAATTGTTTTCTGTGTTATTGTCTCTTTTCATTTCCCCACAACATCTCCTCTTCCCCTTTCTGTGCTTCCAATACTTGCTTTCTCACCCCCTTCTGGTCCAGTCATGCGTTATGATACTCTATTTATTCTCTTGCTGCATCCAGCTCCAGGACTGTGGTACTTGATCTTTCAGATGTCCCAGGGAGCAGTGGCAGTTGGTCCCCTTCCATTCCCTTCCTTCCCTATTGGCATCCTACCTGGTACCCTGTTGGACCCTTGTCCACTTTTCATCAGTATCAGGTAAGCCTACCCATCACACATTCAGACCCAGCAATTTGTCCTGCCCTTCTCTGTCTCTCTAACCTCGCATCCTTTCTGTCCCTTCCTTGATGTCAGGTATCCTACCCACCGTGTCCCAGATCTTGTGTTCTCATGTCTTCCCCTTTTCTGCTGCTGTCCCACCTGACAATGGTTTCAGCCTACACCTTACTTACCCTTTGCAGCTCAGCACACAGCCTGCCTACAGCAGTGGAGCTATAGCTTCCAGTACAGAGTACTAAATTCTGACTTTTATTATCGTCCATTGGCTGGCTTAGCCCCTATTACATGCATTATTTGTAATTCCTGACCTCACTGTTCCCTCATCTTCAATTATTTCAATTTTTCTGCTTCATTGCCCTCAATCTTCCGTGATTGTTCCTGTCATGATTGTCAGCCCTCCTCTAGAGGGCGCTGCTACCTTTTTCATTGTGTTCCCCACCCTTATTTGTCCCAGCTGTTTCCTATCCCCGTTTCCTTATTTGTTGGCTCAGGAGTAGCCCGAGGGCATAGGCTTTATCACGGCGACCTGACCTCTGAGTCCGAGGCTTGGAGCACCTTGCCCCGTTTTGATTTTAACCCTTCGTGTTCCTGGTCCCAGTTCCCTGTTCCTGTTTTTAATCGTCTGCATCTCTGATGGACCTCCTGGCTTCTGGATTTTGGACTGCATCTTACTACCCCCTTGGACTTTCTTTCTGGACTCGTTCTCCTGCACTCCTCCCATGCACCGGATCATTGTTTTCACCACTCCGCTGTCCGTTATCCCATCCATTCCTCACCGTGTCTTCCCTGATGTCCTTCTCCAGTCACTTCCAGATTATACCATCCTGCATAGGGTCTTCTACAACAGATTTCACTGGAGATCGGTTTGGCCGCTCTGATAGCTCCTCACTCCTTTTCTCTCTGACCATCATTCCTCTCTTAGGTCATAGAATGATCAATTCATCATCTTCTTGGAGGGTCATTAAGACCCAATCAACCTTCATTCCATCAGAGGCAGAAGGTCCTTGTCGCCTCCTCCTCATATGCACCTCTTATAGAGACACACAAGCTCGTTCCATGTGCCTATGGTGCCCTTGAGTGCTTCTTATGCTCATTTGAAGAAGGAATTCACTTGAACTGCCGGCACCAGTGTTCCCAGACACTGATAATACAACCGTGTCTGTCTCAGAGGCTGAAGTCAGGGCAACTTTTAGAAGGGTGAACATACGGAAGGCAACCGGCCCAAAAGGCATACCTGGATGGGTCCTTAAGTCCCGTCAGACCAATTGCCCGTGGTTTTTACTTACATTTCTAATTTTTCACTCCGTTCCCATGTGTTTTATTTCATTGCCGGAGAAAAATACTGCAACATTTTTTAATGATTACAGACCAGTAGCGCTCACATCTACCGTAATGAAATGCTTTGAAAGGCTGGTCATTAACATATGGTATATTAACACAATGGTACCTGAGTGCTTATACCTCCTGCAGTTTGCATACCGGCATAACAGGTCCACTGAGGACACTATTTCTCTGGCTAATTATGATAAGTGTTCACACTCAAATTATTTGAATTAGTGGTTAGGGCTCTAGAGCAGATGGTTCTGGGTTCAAATCCCAGGTAGGACTCTATTATTGTACACCTGGGCAAGGTACTTACAATCAAATTGTTCCAAATGTATTCTGCTGTATAAATGATTTGAAGGTCATTATTGTAAAATAAATATTTTATACATCATCCAGACAATCTGAGAAAACAACAAAAATGCAAATACATTTTTAGGATATATAATCGAATGTATAGATTTTAAGTGATGTTATGTTCAAATTGTATAATGTACCAGTATGGTGAGAGTTACCTGATCCAAGAATACAGAAACCTCAAAGGCTTTTTATTCCTAGCATAAAGTCACACTAGTGAACATCTCCAGCATTAACAGGGAAAAAACAACCAGAGGCCACAAGTGTAAGCTAAGTGGAAATGCATTTAAAATTCAAAACAAGCAGCATTTCTTTACACAAGGTGTTGTGATAGTATAGCTAGT